GGTTTCACACTTGGTTTCTTCCTGTTCCTGGTTTCACACTTGGTTTCTTCCTCTTCCTGGTTTCACACTTGGTTTCTTCCTGTTCCTGGTTTCACACTTGGTTTCTTCCTGTTCCTGATGGGGATTAACTTGCACCTAAAAAATGTGTCCACTGCTGTTACAAACAACTTAAGTTTAGACTATGGCTACTGTAGCACCTTTTTTGGTCTCCTCCCTGCGGACGATTGCTGTGTTGGTTGTGCTGTCCTTGTTGTTATCACTGTCATTTGTCGTTGTTGTTGTTGTTGTTGTTGTTGGTGGTGGTGGTGGTGTCGTTGTCATTGTTGTTGGTGTTGGTGTCGTCGTCGTTGTTGTTGTTGTTGGTGTGGGTGGTGGTCGTGGAGGTGGAGGTGGTGCTGCTACTGTTATGCAGTTGGTTCTTTGGTGTTGTGGTTGTGATGTTGGTACGGTTGCCCCCCTTGTTGTTGGCGCGGTTAGTGAGGTTGGCATTGTGGGTGCTGGAGGTTGTCCTTGTTGTTATCGCTGTGATTTGTTGGTTTTGTTGTCGTTGTCGTTGTCGTTGTCGTTGTTGTTGTTGTTGTTGTTGTTGTTGTTGTTGGTGTTGTTGTTGTCGTTGTTGTTGTTGTTGTTGTTGTTGTTGTTGTTGTTGTTGTTGTTGTTGTTGTTGTTGTTGTTGTTGTTGTTGTTGTTGTTGTTATGCAGTTGGTTCTTCGGTGCTGTGGTTGTGCTGTTGGTACGGTTGCCCTTCTTGTTGTTGGCGTGGTTAGTGAGGTCGGCATTGTGGGTGCTGTGGAGGTTCAGGTTTGTTTCCATTCCTGTGGCGATGACGAGACTCGGGGTAATTGTTATGTTTGTTGTTATTCAACCATTCAGCTATTCGGCTATTCGGCTGTTTAGCTGTTTGGTTCTGTGACGATGGCTAGACTCTGGGTGCTTCGGTAGTGTATGTGTAATGGCTGTTGTTGCTTGACTGATACCATTTCTGGACTGCAGCACAACGCACGAGTCTAGTCGTTTGGAATATATCTGTTTAAAGTTTAAACCTAGGCATGGCTCATGTGCAAAAAAAAAAGAAAAAAACTAGGCTACCAGAGTGGCCCGGGGTCACTTGCCCGGCCGGGCCAAAAAAAAGTTAAAAACTAAAAATAAATAAATATTAAATTATTTTAATATTTTAAATTATATTTTTTATTTTAAATTTGGTAAGGAATTTCGATGTGACCCTGAGGCAAAAGTTGTTCATTTTATTTTTCTGCATAACATAGTTTTTTTTCGGTTTTTTTTTAATTTTTTTTTTTTTTTTTGCTGGGACCTTCCCTTGTCCTTGCACGGGCTGGCCACCCGGGACCCGGGCGGCCCGGCTGGTAGCCTAGAAAAAAGGAAATTTTTGTATGGGCGTTGTATTGTAAAAAGAAAAAAAAAAAAAAAGGGTCGTCAGAAAATTCTGAAAAAAATGTATGTGATAGAACTTCATAGAAGACATTATTCTGAACAACTTTTGCGGAAGTTTTGCCTCAGACAAAAAAAGTGGAATTCGCAACCAATTATGAGATAAAAATCAAAACCAAAAAGAGAAAAGAAAAGAAAAAAAAAAAAGCTGTTTCGTACGCTTGTACAAAGTACTACAAACGCGTACAAAAACAAAATCATGCGCACTACGGGGGGGGCGGGGGTTGTATGACGCATGTCCGTGTGCATCGCGTACAAAGGGATGTCCAGGTTTAAACCAGAATGATACAGAGAAGACTAGCTTTCGCCCTTGTGCACCTAGATGACACAGATGAATCAAGAAATCGTACAAATTATTAAAAAAAAGAAAAAACTCACCACTCCATCAGTGGAGTCCAGAAATGTTACCCAAAAAAAAAAAAAAAAAAAAAAAAAACCTCAACAGTGTATGAGTGGAACCTGGCAGCTCTGTATCCTTCCCAACGTCAGTTAGGGGGAGAATACCATTTTCAGCAATTATAGCCTATAGCCACATCAGTGACTATTTGGCTATAGCCACTGAGTGAGACCATTGCTACTATTTAGCTGTTTGGCTATAAACTATAGACTAGCAGAGCTCATAACTCAAGCAGTCCCAAACACCACAATGGTCAGCGATAGCCTTATATCTGTCTTAGATCCATAGAGAACTCGAGACCTGTGCGAGCCCATTTCGGTTTCTCTCGAAAAGTTGCTTGTTGATGACCGGCGACAATCCCGTTTAGATTGGTGGTGTGACTGACGACATGAGTCTCGCGAGTGAGTTTCCTTCAAAGTAAGAGTGCTGTTTTGCTTGTTTTGCTTGTTGGGAAGCTCCTATCAGTTTTTCTCATCAAGGCTTTTGGGTTGGTTCCGGTTGTTGCTGTTGTGTCTGCCTTCTTTGGGTATTTGGCAGTCAGAAGACCCGCTAAAGAACAGGCCGGGGGACCGAAATTAGTGTTCTGTTTGCAATGGCTCTTGCAATGTCTTGCTGCGTGGATATCCGTACTGCAAGCGGACATGCTGTACCCCAATCCTGGACAGGCGGACCCTCCGCACACATCTCGTCCTCCACCGGTCAGATCCACCCTTGTCGTCGCTCTGCTATTACCAGTGGAACCGAACGGGGAAAGCCTGCTGCTGATCGTACCCCCTCTCATCAGCGCCAAATCGCCACGTCGGCGCTATTCTTTTCCAGGTCAAGCCGACGACAAGCTAAATGCTGTACAAGCTGCTGCTTGGGCGGCGGCAGCGTCAAACTGGGCTGGCGGAGAGCGGCACTGGTTGCGTCCCGGCGAGTAGATCAGCAGCAGCCAAACTGCGAGCCACATTTGACGGTAGACGCACAACCAAGGGCAGCAACGTCCCTTTGCACTCGGGCGTCCGAGTCCGTTCGCCGGCCACTCGTTAGGGAGGACAGGAGATGGACGCTTTCGGTGTCATCTGTAGAAAGGCAAGCTGCAGGATGCTCTGCTAGCGTACTGTCTCCACTGCCGTCTTCCTCTGTCACCCAGGTCAGGCATCTGCAGAGGTCTACGAGGCGAGCTGCCGGCCGGCGAACTCGCCTTGTTGCGTGCTCCACGCAGTACAATGATGTCGCCGTCCAAGCCGAGTCCGAAGATGTTCCTGGTAATGGCGCCCCTGCGCAGGGGAGCATCACCAAAGGCGCTGTCGTTAGGGTGAAGGCGCCGCTGGTCGTCTACCACGTGCCTAAACAACCGTCACTGAACCTGGAAGGGATGGAGGGCAAGGTGGTGGATATTGTGGACATGTGGAAGGGGCAACACCTTTCTGCCAATCTTCCATACAAAGTCGCCTTCGAGCAAGACCTTGGCGGAACCGGAAAAGCGACCAAGTTCTTTGCCCATTTTACAGAGGATGAGATTGCGGTAGTCTCCCAAGCCGAGGCTTAACTGACAAGCCCCCAGTTACGAGAGGGCCACCCATTAGGAGGGGGGTTTGAACGGCCAGGGTGCTTTTTGGAGGGCCTGCGAATGGCGGGAGAAAGGCAGGTGGACGGGAAAATGGGAAACAGGGGTCTTCACCCATTTTAGAGAGGATGAGATTGTGATAGTCTCCCAAGCCGAAGCTTAGCTGACAAGCCCCCAGTTAGGAGAGGGCCATGAGATTGTGATAGTCTCCCAAGCCGAAGCTTAGCTGACAAGCCCCCAGTTAGGAGAGGGCCAGCCTTTAGGAGGAGGGGGTTCTGAAGGGTAAGGGTGCCTGTTTGGGGGGTTGCGAATGGAGGGAGAAAGGCAGGTCGAGGGGAAAGTGGGAAACAGGGGGAAGAGAGGCACAGTGGGGAAAGGTGGGGGATTTGCAGGAGTGTGGAGGGCGTGGGACGTGGGACAGCAGCATTCTGGATGCCATGGAATTATGTTCTGTGTGATAAGGATGCTGTGGGGGGCAGCAAAGGGGGCTGCAAAAGTCGGGTGACAGGAAAACAGGGGGAAAGAGAGGCCCAGCGGGGAAGGGTGGGGATTTTAGTAGGGGCGGTGTCTCTCGGCATGAAACACCCACCATTCTGGAGGCTGGGAACTGGCCCGGTGCAGCACACTGTCGGCGGCAGTGCGCTGACCAGGAAGAGGCAGCGGAAATAGCGTAACGGAAGGGGGGGTAGGGCACCCTGCCAGCGGAAATAGCACGATGGAAGGGGGTTAAGGCACCCTGCCTGGTGTTGGGGTCCACAGGTGGGGGTTCCTCCAGGCAGTGGGTTGGCCTGGGAGGAAGTGTGGTTTGTGGAGGGGGCAGGAGAGGTGGTGAGTGGGTGGCCGTGGGGGAAGAGTCTCGTGAGGTGCACATACCAACAAGGACTGAGCCATTTAGGTGACGAGGGAATGTCAGCGAGAGCAGTAGGATTGGGGGAAAGGCTGCTCAATGAGGGGGTTGCAGCATCCATAATCTGGGCTACCATAGCGGCGAGCTACAGGCAGGAGTAAGCCAGCTGTAATGGTGAGGACCTGTAGCCACAGCTATCCATAGCGGTGAGCTACCGGTAGCAGCAGGCATCCCCATAGCGGTGAGCTACCGGTAGGAGCAGGCTAGCCATAGCAGTGAGCTACCGGTAGCAGCAGGCTAGCCATAGCAGTGAGCTACCAGCTATCCCTAGTGGTGAGCCACTGGTAGCAGCAGGCTATCGCTGCCGTCTTCACCTGAATACAACGTACGGTCTTTATAGCTGTATTTGGGGCATCTTTGAGTCTAGCAGCAAAAATGACCGTACGTTGTATTTGGGTGAAGACGGTAGTGGCGACGTACATGTAGCAGCAGGCTGTTGATAGCTGCGAGGTGTCAGTAGCAGCAGGCTACCCATCGATGCCCATAAGCACTGCACGAGAGCTGGGCTAGGTAGTCGTAGCCAAGCCTCGTGCATGTGCAGGCTGGTCTCGGGTATCTTTAGCTGCAGGCTTGGATATCCGAACCAGTGGGCTACGTCCATGGCGGGTGTCTTTATCTGTCCATACAGTTTGACTCTATTCATGCATAGCGGGTAAGTGAATGATCTGCAAGTACTGGGCTCGATTCATCCATAGCTGCAGGCCTGGTTACCCGTAGCTGCAGGCTTAGCCTACCCATAGTTGTGCGATAGGAGAGCTTTCCCAGTGGGCTACGTCCATAGCAGGCGACTGTACTTGTTCATACAGCTTGATGGAAAGCTTGGGACATAGCGAGGTCGAGGTATGCTATAGCCGATTGGAGGCAAGAGCGAAAAATATTCCAAATTCGGAAAGGCTTCACCCAACATTCAAGTAGAGGGAGAGGATTTGTCGAACATCCCAAATTAGGCAACAATCAGCCAGAGAGTATTTGTTGTGACAAAGAGGAAAAAAGAAAAAAGAAGTTGTGACAGTGGCATCCGCGGATGAACATTGATTTCAACAATAGGAATGCTGATATATATTATCATTATTATTAAAAAAAAGAAGAAGAATGCTGATACCTGCAGACTTTTTCATTTTCCCTTTTTTGTTTTTTTGTCTAGGCTCGCGTCTCCCAAGGTTTTTTTTTTTTTTTTTTAACAACAGGACTTTTTTTTTTTTTTGCTTAATTAAAGAAGRGGGGCCGTCCACCCCACATAAAGACAGGAACTGGGAGCATTACCCAGAGTTATGCTTTTGACGGGACCCAGGAGGGACCCGATAGAAGGGAAAGATAACCAGCTATGCCCTGTGCCTCCGTTTTAATCCAAAGCGCTAAACCCTAAATTCGCCTACCACTTCTCTCTACTTCTTTGCTCTTCTAGCACACCGGACCGGACCTTATTTAAATAATACTTAGGGCCAGATCCCACTGGCAAAGAGGATTGGAATAACTGTGTGAATCTGGACGTGTTTGTGGAGAGGTGCAAAAAACTGTGATTGATCTGCGTTTCTGCGTATCTGTGTGGAACACGTCCAGGTTCAGACACTTATTCCAATCCTCTTTTCCAGTGGGATCTGATCCTTAGTCGTCTTTTCATTAGCCTTTTCAAACCGACCTTTTCTACATTACTCCTATCTGTTCCCCCACTACTCTTTACGTCCAGATTCAGGCCCTTAGTCTCTTCGTTAGCCATTTAAAACCGATCTCTGAGCCTGTCTATCCCTAAACCGTTGAAATGACAGCCTGGATACCCTTCTGTTGTTGCTGCCCTTCCTTGGGCCAGCACGCTTGCCGTGAACCTCTCCTCTACCGTCGTCTTCACTCGAATAAAACTCCTGGTCATTATAGCTGTATTTGGGGTCACTTTCAGTCCAGATGCAGCAATAATGAACGGGCGTTCTATTCGGGTGAGGAGGGTAGTTCCCTCACCCGGTCTGGGTATCGCTCTACCTGTCCATGCGTCCTCTCCCATTGCGCTTTCCCTTATGTCTGATTCCAGCAGATTGAGATTGTGATAAATCCCCTGCGCTTTCCATCTGCACATTAGCATTACCTTTCTCCCCTATCGCCCACCTGCTGGCACCCACACTTCTACATCCACATCGTCCAAAGTGCGTATTGTGCGTATTGCCTTAGGAGCTGAAAGATACACTTCTAGTGATGTTGCCATACCCCACTAGAAGCATCTTCCTGTCCTCTGGAAAATGGGGTGTGCAACGTGCATTGTAATTCCCCACAGTATTCTGAAGCAGGCGGGTGCCTTGCCTGCTTCTAGTGATGTTGCCATACCCCACTTGAAGCATCTTCCTGAGCTTTCCCCCCATAAGCAGACTGCCTCTGGGCAATGAAGCAGGCAAGGCACCATCGTCTCCTGAAGCGAGGTTCCGCTAACAAAGAGAAATGGATTGAAAGCCTAAATCTGGACGTGTTTGTGGAGAGGTGCTGCACAAAAGTGCACTTGATATGCTTTTCTGAATCGATGCATAAAACTGCACTTGATTATCTTGATATGCTTTTCTGCATCGATGCATAAAACTGCACTTGATATGCTTTTCTGAATCGATGCATAAAACTGCGCTTGATATGCTTTTCTGAGTCGATGTATAAAACGCATCCAGATTCAGGTGCTAAATCTAATCCTCCTTCCAGCTAGTGGGACCTTGCCCCTTAAACCTTCTTGGCGGCAAAGGCAAACACAAAAATATTCATGTAACCTATTATAACAGGTATTAAAAAAAAGAAAAAGAAAACCGATATTTGTCATCGCATCTGTAGTGATTTTCTTTTTCTCTCTGTCACTCTTAAGCTGTAAACGAACAGAAAGGAACAAAAAACTAACGACGTTTGTCGTTCCTTCTGTAGTGATTTTCTGTTTTTCACTTCCAGCACTATTCTGTTTCCTCCTCCTCTCTCTCTCTCTCTCTCTCTCTCTCTCTCTCTCTCTCTCTCTCTCTCTCTCTCTCTCT